ATATATATATATATATATATACCAAACAACTTTGACTCCACAGACCTTTTACTAAATCCCATCAACCCACTTCCACCTTCCACTCTTCTCTTCTACAATACAAGCTCTTAGCCCATGTTTGGTAGAGTGTAAAAGGGGGAGAAAACAAATTAAAGGGGCTTTGGAGAAGAAGGAATTTATGGCTTGTTTAGTTTGATGATTCAAATTTTTAATTTGAGTTGAGATGTGACTTTATGTAAGAGCTTTTTACTATACCAAAAAAGTTTAATGTGACTGTTTATAAGAACTTTTTTACTGTAACAAAACTCAAATCGGTGAAATGAACAGGACCTTAATTAACGCCATTTTATGAAGGTTTTGAGAAGAGCTGATGTGTAAATTTTTATTGAGGTGTTAAAATTTTGGTGGGGAACAATTAAGGGGACAGCTATCTACGAACAAGAAATCTGCTAAATATTTCGCCCCATTTTGAATCATTATGTGATGTTTTAAACCATCCAAATCAAACTTGTTCCCAACCACGCTTTTTATATTTTATAGTTCAAAACAAAAACGCCCAAACCAACACATTTCGAGCCAGCTGAATTTGTATATTGCTATCTCATCTTTCCACTCCCAGCATAAAGAAAATAGAAGAGAACCAGGGGCAGAGAAGGCTTGCACAATTGTGAGAAAGCGAGAACTAATTCTAGTTGTACCACTGATCTAACAAAACTGCCAATACAAGCAACAGTCAAATGGAAAGAAGAATTTACTCTCAAGGAGGGGAAGAAAGAAAGAAAAATTACTTTTGAAATATGTACAGCGAGCAACAAACAGCTTCCTGGGAAACAGTTGTATTGGAATTCACATTCAAACTTCTGTTGCCATGTCCCATTTGAATCCTTCACCAACTGGAAGCCTTGTTGCATTTTTAGATGCCAAGAAATCATCTGAATTTAGGGGTTTGATGGGCTTTCTACATGCTTGTTTTCCAAGTCTTTAGGGCTCAAATTGGCCTCAGCAATGGAGGAGACATTTTCCCCAGCTTCTGCAGCACCACTCTTGGTTGTTATATGATCTTGTTCAACAGAGTTTACCCCCTGGTTTGCGTGGCTTCTCGGTTCGTGATTAGTCAAGATATACTGACAAGAATTTGAATCAAGGGATTCTGGCCCATAACGAGATCGAATAGCTGAACTGAACAAGGGCTGCATCAAGCGTTTTCTATCAGGACATTCCCGCAGTGACATTCGACAAATAGGGCAAGTGGAATGCTGCTGCAGCCATATGTCTATGCATGTCACGTGGAAGGAGTGCCCACAATAGGGAAGGATCCGCAACACATCATCATCACGGTATTCCTCAAGGCAAGCAGTGCATCTGCAGCGTGTAAGAGAATCGCAATTCATTAGCTGGGAAATCAGAAAATTTGTTTTCTTTTTCTTTTTTGAGGGAATGAAAAAACAGAAAACACAAACTACTCTGGTTCTTATTTCTTCTTTTCTCTCAGACACACAAAAAACACACATAAAGTGGGGAAAATGTAAAATGTTCTGCAACAACTGAGAATCCAAAATATTTTCTTCATTTGGATAGAACTTATTGCACTTTTATTTCATAGAGTAGAGTCAAAGCAGAACAGTGAAATTAAATGCAAAAAATGTCTTGGCATGAAAGTGTAGAAAACGGCGATGAAACAGTCCTTATTATAAAACCCCATCATCTTCCTTAACAACCCTACGATTTGCATGTCATGGCTAGCTATTAGAAGTTTGGCTTCAAGTGAAACAGTCCACAAAAACAAGAAGGCCTAGTTCTTAAAAGACCCCAAATATTAAAGTATACGGACAAGAAGACGAAATACTAAAAAATAGTTGCAAATGGTCAGGCCCCATCTGGGAATACCCTTTTCCCCCCTCTATTTATGGCTACTGGGGCAATAGAGAATAGTTTATTATCAGCAACATCATAGCAAAAAGTTCGTTATGTGTCCAACTTTAGAGCCTATAACTTGCATAGCTAGTAGTGTCACAAAGACCCCAAAAGGTCTCAAATAAGTTGCAATGGAAGTTTTACCAAGCACATGTGATGCCCATTACACATTTCTAGCACATCCTAGCACTTAGTGATACGAAGGTCCTCGTATCGAAAAGTAAATAGTGAAGTTGCACCACTTACGGTTCACGGTGACTGTACAACCATGATAAATCCTAAATAACTATAGGATCACCTTTTGTACTATTCTCTCATCGACAGTTTTCCCCTTTCTCATGGTTATTTGTATGTATGCATGTATAAAGTATAATATATACAAATACATATATGTCCCAATTTCACCTCCCTCCTCTCTTCATATCGCTGAACATTAATAAAAAGTTCCTCCGTGTTAAATTGATATGTGACAACCTATTCTGTGTTTTCAAAAATGCAAAGATTGTCCTCGTGCTTCTCTATTAATACAAAGTCCACCCCTGATGCTAGATTTGATCAAAATAGCTACATAAAAAAGCATTTTTACCTGCTTGCATAAAAGAATGGTTTGTTTTATCTTACAGTGAGCAACTTTGATTGATATCAAATGCCAAAAGAATCGCAGACCAAAGTTGTTGCCTCAGGAGTTTCTCATAGAAAACTATGTTTATTCCTCTATTTTTTTGTGTTTTTATAAATGAAGGCAATAAGATCTTTTAGCACAACTATTTTGACCAAGTAAAGTTTTTGTCTCTACCCCTAAAATATCAAATAACAAACTTCTATTTACTCGAATCAAATTCCCCATCATAACAACTAAACAATCAAAAAAGTAATCAAACAATAGCAGATTGTTTGGGATAATCTAGTACCATCATTCCAAAAGAGCAAAATTATCTCCACAAGGGGGAAAAAAAAGTTCTTGCATAGTAAAGAGAAGAAAAGTGGGAAGAAGAAAGAACATACTGGGCATCTTCTGAAGATGAGAAAAATGCATCACTATACTTCTTAGTCGGAAAGCTGGCTATAACTACAGGCTCAAGTCCATGCAATCCTCGTTCCAGCTGTACCAATGGAAATTCAAAACCAGATAAGCTCAAATGAAGATTATGCCAAGCTATAAAAGGAAAGACAGGTTTTTGTATTGGATATAGATAACCAGATAATGGGAAAATATTGACAAACTTGTTTACAAGATATAGAGCAGATAATACAATATTTACAATATAAAATCCCAAAAGACTATTTTTAGAGTTTCTATTATGAAAATAATAGACGCAGAAATTGACTATCACTGGAGACACATTGACCACGGAAAACAGACACAGAGAAATACATTCAATAACATAGAAAATTATATATAAAAAAAAACTAAATCAAAAGTTGGCAGATCTAAGTGGCAGTAAAATTGGTAGTTGAAAGAAAAAAAAAAAAAAAGACATCAAACATGCCTTTGATCTAGAGAAACGAAAAGCCCATCAATAAAAAATGAGTGAAAAAAATTTATCAAAATTCAAACCAGCAATAGTCTGAATATCTTAGATCATTATATGATAAATGCCCAGATGCAATTCATCTAAATTATGTCAAATAACGCATTTTTACCAAATGGGCAAATCAGAATTTCCTAAACAAAATCAAAATAAAATGAAAAAAAAAGAAAAGCTTACAATACTGAGATCGGATCTGGAAGCAATGAGGAAGGATCTTCTAGAAGCATTGAGGTGAATCCTCGCACAGACGAGTCTCGTACAGACGAAGACGATGAACAAAGTGCTCACTGCGAATCCTATCACTGTCATCACCAGATTTATCCCCGAAGAAATCATCTTCTCTCTTCCCAACTAAAAAAAAAAAAAAACCCAGATACCAAAAACCCAAAAATAAAAAATCTGAATTAAGCAGCTCTCATTTCATACATCATGTTTTCACTGCATTGAATTTCGCAACCCCAAGAGAGGATTTTTTTTTTTTTTTTGTGGCTTTGGATTTCTGCCACTTGTCACGGACGAATCACAAGAGTTTTTTCTTCTTTTTTTCTTCTCTCTTTTTTCCGTGATTCCAAACAACAATAATCAGTAACACATTTATTGATCTTATTATTATTATTATCTTTTTTTTTTACGTGTCTGCCTGTGGAGGAGAAGATGAATACGAAGAAGAGGAGTGTTTTGGTGTTAAAATGGAGGAGAGGAAAACGGAAGCCATGGAAGTAAACTGTAGAGACTATGGAGAGAGACCAGAAAAGAGGAAAAGAAAAGAGAAAAAGGAAGAAAAGAGAAAAAAAGATTCGGCGAGATGGTGGAGTGGAGGGTCTAATCGGGCAGATTTTTAGATCTAAAACTAAAATAGAACTCCTTGTGGAATATCTAAAATAAAACTAATATGAGGACCAAAACTTAACCTCTCTCCCTTCAAGAAAAAAAATAAATAAATAAACACACACAAGGTTTCTTGACTACTGACTACACAATTTATTCGGAAAAAAAAATGTCTTCACCTATACAATAGATTAAAACGAGCGAGATCCGCGCGTTGCTGCAGAAAACAGTATTATATTATATAATAATTGTATTTAAAATATATTTATATATATACATGTATTATATAACATTATATTACATGGTGGATATAAAATTTGTACAAAGATATTTATGCATACATATATAGCGTTATTATTTAGAATATTTATATATATACAGAATGTACAGGGGAAAAAAAAGAGAAGTTGTAGTCCTTCAGCAATTTTTTTTTTTTTTTTTAGCTGCAAGCATAACAATGAGGGAAGCAGTTGTAAATATAAATGTTAAAAGAAGTAAAGGTGGTTAAAATATATAGTATGAAATAAGTATTATAAAAAATATTTAAAGTACCTTGTTCTTGGACGTTTTGTAGACTGTCTTGTTGTTCTTGATTCAGGACTGAAAGAATGAAATAATCTGTAGATATGTTTTTGAATAAATTGATAATCTTTGTTGTGTTGAATGTGATTTACCTTGTGCTAGGTTTTTTTGGTGTTGGAGTGTGTGGATCAAATGTGGCTGGTGGTGATAGCTGGGAAGATGGTATAGCTGATGGGCTGAAAGATGTGGGAATTTTTAAAGGTGTTATTAATATAATATAAATATTATATATGTATAGTTGCTGGAAAATTTTAAAGATAATATTTACCTATGTGGTTCTTTTGTTCTTGCAGTTAATAGTTTTGGTGGCGATGATGGAACATTGATGTCTTCAAATATTTTGGAAATTAATGTACTCATTTGGGTGCCTCGTTGTTCGAAAAAGATCTGGAAGATTTTGGATTGTCCTCGGATCTGATCGATGGCTAGTGGTATTATAAATGGATTAGTAAAGCCCTCGTCAATTGTTAGTACAGAACAGGGTTTTTTTATTAATGCCTGAGCGGTTCTGCCAAAAGCGATGACCTCTATGTTTTCAGTATGATCTTCAATTTGAATTGTTAATCTGTACCTGTAATATATATACATATATATGTATATTTTTTGTAATGTCTTTTATTTTTTTATTAAATCAAATGAATATATGTAATAAATGAAAAGGGTATGGTAATAAATATATTTACCATGGAGAGGGTGTTGACTTTATATGGCCATGACTGTCGCACCACCAACCTATTCTTGCTTGTTTTAATTGTCGGTAACATCTGGGGCAAGAATTGTAGAACCTCCTTGAGACGTCGAGAAGTTTACTATTGTTGCTCTTACAGTGAATTTTTCACCCTGTATAAAAGAGATAATAATTTTGTTTAAAATTCTTTACTAAGTATAGTTAAAAAAATGATAGGAAAGTTAATAGTACTAACCAGATAATTTTGTGCATCCAATGTTTTGAGCTCCTCTATTGTTATTCTATTTGTCGATATTTGCTCTTCAACTATTTGGATAGGTGTTTTTGGAGGTGGTAGGAACTCAATTTGTTGATTTTGGTGGGAAAATCTGTACGTATAAAAATATGAATAAGGCCAGGAAGGTATAAATAAAATGTATTATTATTTAATATGATAAATTTATTAGCATATATTTTCTATACATGTTTGTTTACCTTGTCTTTAATGTCGTTGTTTCTGGGATATCCGGATCAATATAGAAGATCGTTGCTGATGTACTCGAAACATATGAGTTACCTTGAAATATAGTAGAGTAGATAATAAATGTATGCTATTTTATTGTATATGTGTATATAAAGAAGTTTAGATAAAATATTGTCGAAAATACCTAGATACTGCTTTGTCAGCATTGATGAGAAAACGGCGCCAATTGGTGCCTTTAATGCTTTAAGGACATTTTCATCAAACTGATCGGCTTTATGTTCCCATAGGCTTACCTGCAGATGTTCATTTCTGTAGGCAAAAAGTGGTTTATAAGAATGAGTAATAAAAGTGAACGATAAAAGTGAGGAATAATTGTATTCATGTTAAATAGTTGTAATGAATAGTAAATTTGAGGGAAAAGAGTATGAAATTATTATACCTGATGTTTTGTATTGTTATGGATCGCCGTGTTGTTGGTCTAGTGCTAACATGTGTATGCTCGAGTGCCTGGACACTTTTTAATAGTCCAATAACATCTAGTATTATATTTAAATAGGAAAATTTTGTAAATAAATATTGAAGGAAATTTTATAGTAATAATAAAATAAGTTAAGTAGGATAGTACCTGTTAATATCTCAGTATTGTTTATTCTCTGATACAACTGGTCGAATTCTATGAAGTAGAATTTGTGAAATGTGATGTGTGGTGCATCTTCCACAATTGAAGTAAAGGATGTTGCTCGTGCAAATTGAATCATAGCACTATGTGGAATAACTTTGTATGTTGATTTATTTTCAGTAACATAAAAGTTGCAAATATTGTATATATTGCCTTGCACAATTTTTTGGGAAATATAGTCCGAATCTCCTGCTCGAATTGTTCCCTGTATTGCCTCATGCTGTAAATAAATAATAAGAGTAGAAATTTATTCAATATTAATAAATATTATATAGAATAATATGTAATATAACATTTTAAATTTTTAGTACCTCTTCATCAACCAGGATACAGTCAAGGCTAATCAGGCGTCCTGAGACAAAATCGTTGTTTGTCCATATTCTGCATACTCGTGCTTGTATTGTTTCATAGACTTCATTTGGTTTTAGTGCACGAATAGGTGTTGTCATATTTTCTTAGTCCTGAAAAAAGTAAATAAGATGTTATTATAATGACAAATATTCTATTTGAATTTATTGTTAAAAATGTTATATTAAAAAATTTTAATGTTGTGAAGAATATAAGGTGGTATATATTTTGTATATATTTATTTATGTGATGTTGTGTAAGATTTCTTTGTAGACAATATTTTTTATATAATTAGGATAGTTGTTGTTTGAATCATTGAGTAATATATATAAGCCTTTTGGATTTGTCACTCTAGATAAAGCAACATATAATTGACCATGGCTAAATATTTGATTTTCTAAAAATAGTCCAACTTTATTCAAAGATTGTCCCTGGCTTTTATTTATTGTCATTGCATAACATATTTTGATAGGGAATTGGCGTCTTTTCAAAGTAAATGGCCATTTAGATTCATGTACAGTCATTTCTATTCTTGGAATATAAACTTTATCAGAAATATTATTTGAAGTGATGATCTGTCCCTCTATTATTTTATTTGTTAATTGTGTTATGATAAGTCTAGTTCCATTGCATAGTCCAGCAGATTGATTTAGATTTCTCAGAA